ATATCGTAATTTTGTATTAATTAGTTAAATTAAAGCTCTATATACAGTAAACCATTAATGTTTGTGTAAGAATTGATAAATTAAAACATGTGTATAAGCTATTTAGGTTCATTTTTCACTCATTCTACATCATTAATTGTTACCCTTAAATTAAACAATCGCCCTCAAACAGCTAACACCATGCACCACATCCAATATTCCTCTAATGTATACCGTCAAAAGTTTCTTGTAAGCCTCCAGCTATAAAAATAATGTTCATTAATACTTCCTCCTAGATAAAATCAATATATTCAACACCTATGTACAGTAAAAGTTTAATATGATTTGGGGGGATACTAATCCTATGGGGGGGATACTTATCCTATGGCCAGTTTTAGTATCCGGATACTTATCCTATGGGGGATACTTATCTTATATGACACCGGTACTGGAGTTGGTCAAGTTTAGCTATGGGCAGGGTCCAGTCTCCCCAACACAGTGTTATGGTCAAGTCCATGTATCTGTGTCATCTAGGTACAGTGTCCTGTTCCCAAAGGTGAAGGTCACGTTTATATACCTGTCTTCCCAGGTTTTTGGTCATCTTCACCAAGAGACAATGTCCAGTCTCCCAGGTTTTGGTCAACTTCACTCTGAGGCAATATCCAGTCTAAAAGTTTTGGTCATCGTCACTCTGAGACAATGTCCAGTCTCCCGGGTTTGGTCATCTTCACTCTGAGGCAATATCCAGTCTATAAGTTTTGGTCATCGTCACTCTGAGACAATGTCCAGTCTTCCGGGTTTGGTCATCTTCACTCTGAGGCAATGTCCAGTCTATAAGTTTTGGTCATCGTGACTCTGAGACAATGTCCAGTCTCCCGGGTTTGGTCATCTTCACTCTGAGGCAATGTCCAGTCTCCAAGTTTTGGTCATCGTCACTCTGAGGCAATGTCCAGTCTCCCAGGTTTGGTCATCTTCACTCTGAGGCAATGTCCAGTCTATAAGTTTTGGTCGTCGTCACTCTGAGACAATGTCCAGTCTCCCGGGATTGGTCATCTTCACTCTGAGGCAATGTCCAGTTTCCAGGTTATGGTCATCTTCACTCTGAGACAATGTCCAGTCTCCCGAGTTTTGGTCATCTTCACCCAGAGACAATGTCCAGTCTTTCGGGTTTGGGTCATCTTCACCCAGAGACAATGTCCAGTCTCCTGGATTTGGCCATCTTCACTCAGAGACAATGTCCAGTCGTTTAGGTTTTGGTCATCTTCACCCAGAGACAATGTCCAATCTCCCAGGTGTTTGGTCATCTTCACCCAGAGACAATGTCCAGTTTTTCTGGTTTTGGTCATCTTCACTCTGAGACAATGTCCAGTCTCCAGGTTTTGGTCATCTTCACCCTGAGACAATATACAGTCTCCAGGTTTTGGTCATCTTCACCCAGAGAGATTGTCCAGTCTCCAGTGTTTCTGTCATCTTCACCCAGAGACAATGTCCAGTCTCGGGTGTTTCTGTCATCTTCATCCAGAGAGATTGTCCAGTCTCCAGGATTTGGTCATCTTCACCCAGAGACAATGTCCAGTCTCCGGTGTTTCTGCCATCTTCACCCAGAGACAATGTCCAGTCTCCCAGGTGTTTGTCAGGAAGGGTATAATTGTGTTAACTTAATTGGAATTAAAACATTATTTTTCTCCTGTTTTAGGTTTCATGCCAAGACTGCACAAGGACAGAGCGTTCACGCACGACCCCCAGCTCTACGATATTTTTGCCAAACAGAGAAAACAGGATTTGAAAAAGTGATTTCAGTTTCCAGATAACTATACACGTGACATTACCTTAGAATGAAACTAACATTGTGGTGTTTCTTTATCAATAGGATTTGAAACACGGTAAATACAGCATGGGACAATGGTCCCGAGGTTTCTGAGAATGTATCAGAATTTGATTGTCAAGTGCACACTGCCAGAAAAGACGAATGTAATAAAACATGCATTATATACATCATTAATACTTCCTTATTTGTTGCATATATTACCATCACATGATTCCAGTTTACCACCTTGCCATGGTCTTTGGGTGATGTTATCTGCCCGTCGAGTTGGCCGATATTATGGTAGCCGTGAACCTTGACATGACCTTTGGGTGGTTTTATCTGCCCGTCGAGTTGGCCGATATTATGGTAGCGTCGGCCTGTTAACATGCTCTCTTCTAAAGCATATAACTTCTGATATGTTGTATTTTTAGAACAATCATTTCAAGGTCAAGGTCACAGAGAGGTCAAAGATAAAACCTGTCCATGCATTTTATTGCCCAGAGAATTTCTATTAAACACTAATTTTTATTTTATTTTCTATATACTGTATCCTGGAAAATGTTTGCCCAGTGAAATATTAAACATTCATAGGCTCTGATGAGCACTGTTGAATACCATTAAGGTATCCACCCTAGGATCCCTACCGACTTCCTTGCAGGGACGTTGGGTCTCCACCCCCCTGGTGTTTTTCATAGGATCAGTACAATCCATACGTTCAGTAAGCTATGTACTAGAGAAAAAGAGGGGATTAGATTGACACCTTAATTGTAAATGACCAGTTCATATTCATACTTGCATGTTCCTGCCTGGACCATCACAGAACCTCTTGTTTACCAGAAATAAGAATGGCAATGATGCAGTTTAGGGAGCGGTCACCTACCAACTGAACTTAACTGTACACCATTTTAGCATTACCAATATTTAAACATGATGTATTGTGCGAGTTCCACTCTGTATGGTCTAGCAACTCTGTCAGTTTCCTCCTCAATGTTAACTTTTTTATCCCCTGCTTTTCAAAGAAAATGGGGGATATTAATTTGGGCTGGTCTGTCCATCATGTTTTAGTTTCTATGCAGTAACTGTCCTAAAGATGGTCCTAATGTGGTATACTCATCAACAGGTTTGAGCCTGAGTTTGATTGTCTGTGTGATCCATGCATATTTATGCGTACTTAATGATGTAACAAACTTAGGATTGGCTAAAAAAAATTGTGCAATAATTGCCCCTACTAATAGATCGATTTCAATGAATTTTGTTTCACTGTCCTGGCATATTTTGCTACATGTACTTGTTATTGCAAGAGTTATTGTGAAAATTGAAATAAATTTATTAAAATCTTGCATATCGGTAGCTAGGTAGACGTCTTGATCGACAGCACTGCCAGATTACTTCCCTTTGCTGAGTGGGCATTTTCACACCGATTGGTAGAATTGAAAAAAAAGTGTACAAGTTAATACATAAACATTACTGAATCTGACTGCACCAAACTAAATAAAAGTCACATTAATTAAAATTAAAGGTAGATAGAAAAGATGAAGATTATATATGTACATGTAGTAGATTATTATCCTTTGCTGCTATTTTGCATCTTTCCAGTTCTATCACTGACCTGTACTCTGCAGATACTGCTCTGTAAACATACTTATTTTAGCAGTACATGTGTATACTTGTAAGGGCTCCACATTGTAGGATGATTTGCATGTGAGATGTCATTCCATATCAAGGTAAAAATAAGTTTATCTTTTCCCTGAAAAAAATCTGGTATGCGTCTATAGGTTAGGGAGAATATTTGATTCTTGTACATTTGAGTATGGAGAACATTTTTGAACTATTTGTCAATTTTCCCTTTGGAGCCTCATCCCCCACCCTAGGGTTCAAACAGGAACCCCAATTTTAAAAATTGATTCCCTCTTCCTCCAAGAAAGATTCTTGATTACCAAGTTTGAATAGTTCCATTCACTGGTTTTAAGAAGTTAAAAATGTTGAAAGTTGACTAATCAGCCAAAATGCCGCTCAGGTGACAGGTAAAAGGAACGATAATATTAACTCATTCTCCCCTGAAATTTCATAATGAACTCTATTCCAACCTTTTGAATTGGAAGAGTTCAAATGTGTCTTCAGGGGTGTATTCTTATAAAGTATGGAAAATCGCCTGCAAACAATTTTACTGTATAAATAACAACACAATTTCAGTTTGATCTTATTTTTTATGTAACTGAGAACAAGGGGACAGATTGGTCTGCCCTTCTGTCAAAGTGACTCCACAGATAAATTTCAATACAAGGTTGAGTCGTTGAAGTTGAGGTAACTACAACATGTACCATATGTTATGAGGAGATACAGTGCAGCTAATTTTGTTGTCAATATTTCGGTGAATCCAATCTCCCTTATCTTGATTTGTGACCCCATTCCCTCTAAATAAACCCTCTCCTTTTATCCAACTCTATAGGATGTGGGTGAGTTGGACAAGGGGAGGGGTCACAAATCTGGATTCAGGGTCCCGTGATGATTCCTGTATTGCATAGACATACACAGTATTCAGTATTTTATTTTTCTTATTGGCAATATGTAAACGATATAAATGACCTCCCTTTGCCCTATTTTTGATGATGAGTATATATTTTTTTAGAATTTCTTGATCACTCAAATTTAATTTGTAAAAGAACAATGAAAATTGAATATAATAATATATAAGATAAATTTTCCAACACTTTTTGAGTTTTAAGATTTACCAAATTTTTGACATTTACATTTCTGTCTGGAAATGGCAGGAAAAGAGATTTTCAAAAACTTATAATATTTAGCTGCACTGAACCATACACATACAGCCTGTTTCAATGTTCATCTAACATGTAATAATACTTATCACTTGATAAACACGACACCGAGATTTATTAGAAATAATTTTTAACATTGATATATATATATATAATGACATTTCTCTATGAACAAATTTCTCGCATAAATATAATTCTCTACATAGGGAAATCAATAGGATCATTACCATGTAACAAAAAAAAACTATGTACAAAAAATACACAATTACATAAATGGTTTTTCATACATTCAAAATAATCAACGATTTTCAACAGGAGGTTTTGATTGTCTTTTGTACCAATATATACAGAGTTTGGACCTTCTCGGTCTGGTATATCATACAAACAGTATCTGAAACAAGAAACTAAGCTTGGTCTGGTGAAAACACACAGAGATTCATAACTCAGAGAAAAGGTTTGATTATGATTATAAAATTAAAATAAATGTGAAAGAAATATCCTAAGTACCGGTATACAAGCATTTGAGTGACATAGATGAGTGAACTTTGACAGGAAATACTGTCACTTGTTACACCGTCTCACAGTCGGACATTATAATTCACACTTGTGCTTTTTTTGGTCGCCAACAGAAATTTGTGTAAAAGGGAAAGCTTTTCTGACATAATTACCGTCCACCAGGAAATTTTCGTTCGGTCAAACTTACACACTTTGCCCATGAAATCAAATTTTGACCAGTGTTAATTTTGCCCTCCACATTTAATTAATATGTTTATTATGCAGTTTACTTATATTCGCTGTAATGATAAATTGGCCCTGATTATGCAGGGTAAAAAAGGTGAAAATTTCCTGGTTTGTAATATGTTACAGAATACACAATATGTGACATTATTATAATGTTCAACTAACAATGCGACATTGTTATAATGTTAAACTAACAATGTGACGTTATTTCAATGTTAAACTAACAATGTGACATTATTTCAATGTTAAACTAACAATGTGACATTATTACAATGTTAAACTAACAATGTGACATTATTATAATGTTCAACTTACAATGTGACATTATTACAATGTTAAACTAACAATGTGACATTATTACAATGTTCAACTTACAATGTGACATTATTATAATGTTCAACTTACAATGTGACATTCTTACAATGTTAAACTAACAATGTGACATTATTACAATGTTAAACTAACAATGTGACATTATTACAATGTTCAACTTACAATGTGACATTATTACAATGTTAAACTAACAAACAGACTCAAGTTAGATTAACACAGTAACGATCCCCCACTGGCCAAGGAACCCCTTTCTATAATACAAAGCAGAAAAACAATCAACTCCGGCCGATCCACGGCACATAAAACACAAAAACTAATTGCTGTGCAGTGTCTTTTGGAACAGCCTCAGGTGGGATGGAACTCTTTGTCTAATTTTGATTATGATAAATTAGTAAATATGGTTAAATAATGAAGATTGAAAAAAAAAAGTTATCCCAATGAATTGTCGGTTTAGATTAATAAGGGCACTACATGTGCAACATTTGCATACACGCATTTCAAATGCTCATATTTCAAAACTCTTCTCCATAAGGAACACGATTTTCTTAACTTATCTCAAACAAAATCTTATTTCTTGACTATAATATTCTGGACTAAAATAATATGTCTTAATTTATCTTCCTCATCTGATAAATTAATACCGGCTTTTTTAAATAAGGGAAACAATCATCACTGATGATTTTAACAAAAATGAAATGGAACAGAAAAACATGTATTCTTATCTCAATAAAACACATTAATTGATTTACTTAATCATAATAAACAAAATCATAGAAATATATTTCAGGGTCAACTAATCAACATAACCATTTTATACTAAATGAAATGTCCATGGGTCATAAACTTCACCGTTACATACAAGCAACTATCAAAATACCTCGCTCACTATAAAGGATCACACAGTCACTAATACGTTTGTATTTACAACTTCTGGTTAATACTATGCACCATTCATTATAGACCAGACTCATATACTTGAGTTGCTATGGTAACTAAACTCGGTTCGACCAATCACAAATATCTACAGGTTTAACTGTTAATACTGTATAGTGCTTCAATTTGCAGCAGGTTCTATGTTTGATAATTCATAACACGAAGAGTAGGCAACTAATAAATCGCTAACTTGTTGTCCTTGTCATAAAGTGTTATAGCTTGAATATTGACAATTTACAGTTCTATGCCGAATTATTTACCACATGAATTTTGTTCTAGGAACAAAACCATGGAAGTATGACCGCAACATAAATTACAGCGCTGAACAGTGAGGTTCAATCGACACAATCTGCAATTCAAAAAGGAATGCTGTTCGTTCAAAGAAGGTTTAATCTGAATTTTACTGAGTTTATGTCAATGATGGCTGTAAACTCAGTAACTTAAGGGCCCTGAACAGTTCCCCTGGTTACCTTGGAAATGAAGTTGAAATCTACCAAGCAGTCAGGGAGGTGAGCCCCTGGTAATGGTAAGCAATTTATCTGAATATCGTTTGATCTCCATGGGCTTAGGACACTACTACAACAGTTTGGTTAACACATGCTCAATTATTTGGGAGGAGAGGTCATTTAAAGCAAATCTTCAAATTCAACCCTTTTTGATTCCTACCCTCAGTTCGTTAGATAGCAAGCTCCTTTACTTGTATCATATTTATTCCTTATGGGCTAAGCATGTTATTATTCAAATTTGGTTGAAATCTATCCAGAGATTTGGGAGGCGTCGTTCAATGAAAGCAAGTCAACTTGACATCGTTTAACCCCACCCCTCAGTCCCACAGTAGGTTAAGCTCTTAAGGTATGTTTAAGTTTCGATTCTCGTGAGCTAAGATTGCTGCGACTACTATTCTGTAAAACTTGCCGAGTAGTTGAGGAAGTAAACTGTCTTTTTATAACACAGATCCTCAGCCCCCAAGGAGGGCCATCCTCTTTATTTGTATACTGAAGTATTGATCCTATTGTTACCAAGCATGCTACCGCTACAATTTGGCAATATAAAATATCCAGTAGTTAGGGAAAAGATGGCAATGAAATAAAATAGCCAATTTGTCCCATTTTACCCAGACCCTCAGCCTCCAGCAGAGTCATCCCCTTTATTTGTAGCTAGGGCTAAGCATGTTGGATGAAATCTGCCAGTAGTTTGAGAGGTGATGTCATTTAAAGCTAAAAATACATCAATTTGGCACCTTTTACCCCACCCCTCAGTAGGGCCAGCTCTAAACATTTGTTTCAGTTTTGATTCCCACAGATTCAGCGTGCTACCACGGTTGAAATCTGCCAAGTACTTTGGTAGGATATGTAATTTAAGTAAAATCTGTCTAATTGACCACTTTTGTCCCAGCCCTTCCGCCCCCAGGAGAGCCTCCTCAAAGCATAGGGTTCTATTCTTGATATACATATCTTTCTGAACCCTGGAAATATGTCATGACAAAATGGAGGGCTCACAGTAAGCTATTTGGTACAAAACCTGACAAATTGCTGGGATGATACCTATCCTTTTAAGGTTACAGAGGAGCAGCATCAAAGGACAAAACCTGTTGATTTCACCTGATGGTGCTGTGCGATTCTTCAATCTTCATCAAGGACATCAGACTAGCCTACTGTTATCATCCTCAAGGTGTCGCTGAAAGAGCCTTCAATTTTGTCATGATATATCACAAGGGTGTAGAGAGAGTATGTTTTGGTATTATGGTGTATTCACCTGTTTCTACTAGGACATATAATTTGGTTTAAATCTTGTTAACATACCAAAAATGTATTTTCAAAAATTGTAAAAATTGTAACGGTAATTAAAGCATTTATTTTTGATATTAATACATGTACTTGAAGAAAAGGAACACAAAATACATATGAAATCTTATACAACTTGCGCTTTCTTTTAATCTTAACATTTCATTGAAACTTTTTGCTGACTCACCAGACAATGTTCATACCACATGATGATAGGTTGACAATGTGTGAAAAATTAAACGAGAGTTTTCTTTTCTCTCGCAGCCTTAATTTATTTTGATCAAACAGCCTGAAGCTCAAAAGAAAATATGTAGAAGTATTGACCAGGGAGAACTTACTTATACAATAAAAATCTACCCACATATGAATTAAAAAAAAAGAAGATCTATCAGGTACTTTTTGGGAAATAGCAACAACAAACTTTACCTATCAAATTCAAAATGACTGCCTGGCAGCCATCTTACTTTCCTGATCCGTCTCAAAACTGAGTATGCACAACTAAGGACCAAAGCAAAGCTTCAAATGAAATTCAAGAAAGATCATTTGATCACATATACTTGAGAAATAGCGTTAACAAACTTGATTTTTCATAATCCAAGATGGTTACATTGTGGCCATCTTGTTTTTTCCATCATTTCAAAATATATGTTTTATTTATTTAAATAATCCATGCACAACTGCAGACTAAGGGGTATGTTCATATTAGATCTGAGTTAGATCCATCAAGAACTACTTCAGAAATAATGATAACAAGAACTATTTATAAGAACGGATGGAGGGACCACAAACAACGGGCGATTGGAACATCACATCATCTAACGACGTTGGCCAAAAATGATTATGTATCATCAGGGCTGGGAGAAATAAATAAAGGTAAAACACTGCACCATCAGGGATCAATTAGAATGTTCAACAGTCGGGCCAACAGAAATTTCTAATATAACACATTGTATCTTCAAAACTGTTTAAATGATTTAATTAAGTCAAGCACCATGTTAACGTGTTATATCTCCAGAAAAAAAGGATTATCTAGAAAAACAAGAAAAAACTACATTTGTCTTTTAGTCTTTGGAAGTAATGACATGCATACATGTATACATGTAGTTATGAAGGGGTGATAACTTTATCACAACTGATATCCAGAACATCGATAGCTGGTTCACAGGTCCCTAGTACGTACAACATCGATAGCTGGTTCACAGGTCCCTAGTACGTACGACATCGATAGCTGGTTCACAGGTCCCTAGTACGTACAACTTACTGGAACTTGTGTGCAACTCATTCACAAGTGAATGCATAACATGTAATTGTTCATTTTATTTACAAGTAAAAACCTTATATGGTTTGGTTCACAGGCATAAAATGCTATGTACCAGAACAGCATGACTGAGGAAAGACAACTCTGGCCACTGTCTTTGATATAGAATGTATGATATTTAATAACATAATTAAAATTCCTGTTTTTTTTGGTCTTTTTTTTGTGTGTTATTTTTTTTTAACATATACCTGTTTAAAGTATAAAAAAAACATGATGTCATAGATGTTATACACAAAAGGTATATCCAGAAAAGGGATTAGGATTGGGCAACATTTTAAGGAACTTTCAATAATCTATACACTGGAAGGATATATCCTTTTTTTATAATATGGAAAGATATCATTCGTTTTTTAAAATATGGAAATATATCCATTTTTTTTATAATACAACTGTGTTTGTAATCTATACAAAATAATTGAATTTAATTCTTCTATTAAACCCTATGTTTCTTTAAAGAATCTAACAAATTTCTGAAATTTTTTCTTGCCTTAATTAACCGACAATAAATAATGCTTTTCATCCTGACTGGCCTAATTTTTTGTATTTTATGAGTTTAAGGGCACATGTTGCCTTAAATTAACTTTCCTGAAATCTATCATCACTGTACCCAAAACAGGTCACATTTTAGTTAAATATTGATGTAGTCTAAACTATAGTATTAATTCCAAAAATGTTTGTCCAATTTTCATGAAAAGGCATCATCCACTTTAATTTTTTATTACAAGTTGATATTTCTGGCACATGGTTCTATAAATAGAATGCAAAATACTATTAAATAATTAGGGTAACATAGGCTCTTGAATAAATGAATCTGCACCTGAAAGTGTCACTGTGATATTTTGGCCAATACTGTGGATACTGTCGATATAAGTAGAAAATTACACTTAGTTAGAATATTTTAGACTCAAATGAGGTTCTGATCAATTTTATTCTCCTAACTAGCAAAAGTTTGAAAAAATAAGTTTCTGAAAATGACATCCAAATAGACAGCGTCACATGGCACAGAAATTAAGAAAAAATATTTCAAACCTTAGTGTGACCATTATCAACAGTCAATAAAGCCGATTTACAGTTGAATTGACATAAACGTATCGTGAAGTCCCCATATCGAGCATCCTTTTTATGGCACTGTCCTATTTACGGTACACCGATGTTATATATAACAGATGTAGCCATGGACTAGAATCATTTTAAATTATTTTACACAAACCATAGAAATAATGTATAAAATAGATTATGGCTTACACAATTTCTCATTTTATTTATATTGAAATCATAGCAGTTACTAAATCTAAAAAATGTCTCGTTTGGTGTCGTCTGTCCTAGACATCACTTATGACTATCAATATGAAGCTTCTAGCTAAACTACATTTACTCCTGGGTATTATAGATAATCAATATTTCTGCTATGTATTCAGCCCCACTCCTTCTTTTGAATAAATATCCTGGATGAGAGCCATATCTAGAAGTTTTAACCCATTTCAAAGAACTGTTACAAATTATACAATTGCCCTCCCCCCACTGATATTTATCACATGTAAATTTCAACATATATATATGTATGTATAAAGACTCAACATTTCAATAACATGTATTAAATACAAATCAAAATAATTTTCTTTGGCATGAATTCTATTAATCAACAAGTTCAATGTAACAGTCAACTATAGATAAGCAAAAATATTATACATGTCTCAACAAGCAAAAAAAATGAAATAAACAAAAACAACTACATTTCCCGCTACAACAAGAAATCAGGCATTTGTTCCCACTACGACAGATCTATTTTGCAATATTGCTTATTTTATGTTGCTTCGTACAACAATATATACCAGAATTTCAATTTGTGAGAAAAAAACAAAAGACACACATATTATGTGTATAATTGATTCAAAATGAATATATTCTTTAGATATTTGAGCTCACTGTGTACCATAAAAATTACTATTATTATGAGCTGATAATTTCCAAGTGATCAGAATAATGACATACAGGTAGCAAATCAAAATGTAGTGAAATGTGTTGTTTCAACATCAGGTAAAGTATAACATACAAACAATATCTAAATGAAGGGAGGATTTCAAAGCCTACTTTTGCTAGAATAAAAAGTAAAAAAAAATATGGTCAGATGGCACAATGCAAAGAATTGAAAATAGAGCACTTATGTATAAATAAACAACAAAGTCAACAAAAATGGAACAAATCTGTGATGATTACTTGTGATGAGTAAATTGTCCTATTACCATATCTGAGCTAGTAACTGCCCACCTAAGGGAGACTCCTCCCTTCACCAGAATCCAAGTTTATCAACTTGCTTGAAAAAATGTCTATTTGATGGCAACTATATTTAGAATATTGGAAAGTTCTGTAATCATTCTAATTTCTCTAAACAGCACACAGGTGCTTGCTAGGTCAACTATGGTAAACATACAAATAATCATCAAAAACATTAAAAACAAAATAAACATTTGTAACAAAGATTCAGTTGTTTTGAAATATTGGGTGAATTATCATTCAACTGTGCTTATAGTTGATCCCTTTCACCCCTTGGTTACTTTAGTAGACTCTACCATACATTGATCTTGACGAGTCCATTTTGGTCAACAGTGGTGAAAGGGTTATAGGAGAGAAGGACCATGGCTAAATTGTAGCTCAGCTAGCCAGAAGGTGAAAAGGAGAAGACCTAGAGGACTTGTCAGACTGTCAATACCTAACAGACAGTTGTTCCAGAGAACTTGTTAAACAGGGAGAAGACCTAGCGATCCCCCACGCAAGTTAGCCAATTATTGGCTAAGAGTCAATCAAGAGGTCCCCCAGTTAGCTAAAAGCTGACACAGAGGAGAATTTAAGATTATCAGTAATTGAAATGGAGGATGTCTAAGAGATCCCCCAGTTAGCCAATTGCAGACAGGAAGAAGATTTAGAAATCCACATAGCTAGTCACTAGACAACAGGGAGGAGGTCAAGAGATCCCCCAGCCAATAGCTGACTAGGAGGAAATCAAGAGATCCCCCAGCCAATAGATTACTGGGAGGAGATCTAGAGATCCCCAGCCAATAGCTGACTAGGAGGAAATCAAGTGATCCCCCAGCCAATAGCTGACAGGGAGGAGATCTAGAGATTCCCCAGCCAATAGCTTTCTGGGAGGAGATCTAGAGATCCCCCAGCCAATAGCTAACTGGGAGGAGATCTGGAGATCCCCCAGCCAATAGCTGACTGGGAGGAAATCTAGAGATCCCCCAGCAAATAGCTTACTGGGAGGAGATCTAGAGATCCCCCAGCCAATAGCTGACAGGGAGGAGATCTAGAGATCCCCCAGTCAATAGCTGACTGGGTGAAGATCTAGCGATCCACTGGTCACCAACTGTGACTGGGAAGAGCAGCTACTATTAGCCATTCGTTAACAGAGAAATTGAGAGTGACCACTTTCGCTAGCCAATCAATCCATTACAAGTTCCAAGGGCACAAGGACTTAACTGGGAGAGAGAAGAGGAGCACTTGGTGGACATGGGAAGGAAAAGTCAAATGAACTAGGAGTGACCATACATTTAGGTTGGCGGGAGAATTCTCTGTCCGGACACTGAGCAAAGTTGAACCCTGGATGAGAGCCGGAACTGACGACATCTTCCGGACATACTGAATCTGAGCTGCCAATAGAGGATGCTGAGGAAGTGGAGGTCGCTCCTGATGATGAAGGGGTCACTGAGGAGTCACTCGATAAACACATCACTCCTAGTTCACTTTCGTAAGCCTTTAACTGTCGCATGAAATTCAGATTTGGCGAAATCACACTGCGGCGAGACTGCACGTGTTCAAATGCTACTTCGAGTCCGATTTTGGCGGTGAACATGAGGTAGGCGAGACAGATAGTTGCGGAGCGACTTACGCCGGCGTGACAGTGAACTAACACCCTACCAGACTGCTCCTTTACCGTATCTGTAAAACAGAAGGTACAATTTAAATCATTTACTTTTATTTCTCATATCAAACAATTATTTCACAATGGACTGCCAATTGATAATAATACTTATACAAAGACCCGACTAAGAGCTTCAACACATTTTGCACACCTTAAAATTTATCTGTTTTAAAGAAAAGTATAATTAGCATCCCATCATATGAAAAGGGTTACAAATCAAATTAATATCACAAAATACAAACCCTGTCAATTCATGGCCTTCTGATAGAGAGAAAGAAATTACTTTTGGCTATTATTTTTGAACACCAAAATTCTTTTCTCTGGGAATGAACCGTCAAAAATTTGAATGACCAGGTGAAATTAAAGCCCACCGCCACAAAGTGGTTTTCTCTGCTAAGATTTACCTATAAAAGTAATGCTTCTTGTAAACCATGCTGCTAAATCTGCAGTATCATTGTCATCTAGGGGTATATTCATATAGGTAAACTTCTCTTCAAAGTGATTCCTGCAAGACGTTGACACATTAATCAGCGATGTTATGCCGAGTCTCTCCAGCAGCTCAAACTGTGATGCATGCTGGGAGTTGCCAAGGAATAGATATGGTAGAATCTCGACTGGTTCCCCCTGGCAACAAATAAAAATATTTCAAATTTTCAGGTCAGTTGGAAAGATATTAATATATGTGGTCGGGTGGGGCAGTGGATAGCGCACTTGAAGATGGCTGGGGTTTGATTCCCCGATCGAACGTGAAAAGGTATGGGGTCACCTGCCTGACTACATGGGTTTTCTCCGGGTACTCTGGTTTCCTCCCACAATAAGACCCCCAAGTGCTAACATCCGGGCCAACAAAGAGTGATTAATATAAGTTGAAATAACTTGTTTCATAATTGTTGTAAAATAAATAAAGTTTATATATTATTCTATATATTCCTAAAGTATACATACATGTACAGACACAAATGATTTTCTACAATGCATGTACAAATACATTTCTGTACATACATGTTTACACAAAAAAAAATAAACAATAGTCATCGAGCATTGTTATTTCCTTTGAAACTTCAATTCCTTTAAAATAATCTAAACCATATAACGAAAAAAACAAGAGTCATTTTGTATTTACAAAGTGAAAGATTTTTGTGTATCATAGCAGCAAATCTTTCGCAGGACCAGCCGACTAGATTAAAGTACTTTTCTCAATTTATGCTACTATAGCTATGATGAAAGTTTCTCTTAGAAACAATGCATTATTAATATTAAATCTTACATTTTTCGGCTCTTTTAAAAATAATCCAGAAAGGTAATATTATATACCAAAGAAGAAATCTTCTTCAGAAGCATTGTATAGGTGTTCAGCTTGAACTATTAATCTATATTTAGATAAAGGATAAAGTAAAGCCTTGTTATACTGCTGCCATATCATTTATCCAGAGAAATTTTGCATTACAATAGGTTTTTGCAATAATTTGAGGGAAAGGTATCAAGGATGTTCAAGAAAAATGGAAAAATGGACATTGAAATATATTTGTAACTTTCCAGTAAGTGATCATCATGAGGTGGGAAATGACATGATATCAAGGTTTTACTATATATGTATGACTGGTACCTGTACAAATGCCATCTTTGATGAAGGTACGCTTGGGTTAACACAAAGTGTCTGTCGACAAATGGAGCCCTGGATGTCACACAAGTGTGGGTAGCTGGTGCTGAACTCGTCAAAGCCACCTGTTAACAGGTAATACACAACAGGTAATTAATAATTAAATACAGGTAACAGTAGTGTGGCTTAACTCTTCAAGCTTTGTATTACCTGTCACAACAGGTAATTAATAATTAAATACAGGTAACAGTAGTATATGCTTAACTCATCAAGCTTTGTATTACCTATTACTGGTAATACACAACAGGTACTTATAATTAAATACAGGTAACAGTAGTTTGTGCTTAACAATTAAATACAGGTAACAGTAGTGTGTGCTTAACAATTAATTACAGGTAACAGTAGTGTGTGCTTAACAATTAAATACAGGTAACAGTAGTGTGTGATTAACAATCAAATACAGGTAAAAGTAGTGTGTGCTTAACAATTAAATACAGGTAACAGTACTTTGTCCCATCAAACTAACAGGTAATTATAATCAAGAACAGATAAAAGAAGGTGGTGTTTAACTCATTAAACATTGTTTTACCTGTTGCAGGTTGTAATATCTAAAATAGTCAAATTCAATTTCCTGAATGGTTTCTTTTGTAATTTTCATTGTGTGTTTGAATGAATTGCAACATCAAAAGTATTAAAATAATCTGTCATAAATAAGGATGTCAGAATCTTTTACTTTATATTCTTTTTATTGTGGTAAAAAAAATCAATGTTTGATATAATTAGAGAAAAAGCAATTAATTTAGTTTACTGCAACACAACTCCCCCAATGCCAAAGCCACAAGCCCCATTCCCAAGATACTGAGTAGATGAGTTCTTTTGACTTTGGCACACCTCATGCTCTGTCAATGGGGTGTATATCTGTAACAGCGCTAGCACTTTCCCTCAGTTAATTAATTCCTGCCTGTTGAGTAATTAACTCAAACCCGGAAAACAAGTTTACGGTGGTGATGATGCGACATCCGGAGTGTATTTCCGCCCTCTTTACAATAAACCTGCTCCTCATAGTAAATTTCCTTTGAACCCAACCTGGCTACTTGCCATCTTGGCTGAGTTTCTTGTTGTTGCAAGATATATAGGCCATTATATACATAAATACACAAACAGATTATTTACAGTACATTATTGGTTCAGAAGGTAACTTGTATTTTGTAAGGAGAAAGAAAAGATGCCAAATTGTGGGAGATTTGTACTATAGTCAAGGATCAAACTAGACAGCTGGATAGGAATCATAAGGGACTGGATGGTATTGGTGTAGAGAGGAATCATTAGGGACTGGATGGTGTTGGTGTAGAGAGGAATCATAAGGGACTGGATGGTGTTGGGTGAGCGAAGAATCATAAGGGACTGGATGGTGTTGGTATAGAGAGGAATCATTAGGGACTGGATGGTGTTGGTGTAGAGAGGAATTATAAGGGACTGGATGGTGTTGGCGTAGAGAGGAATCATTTGGGACTGGATGGGGTTGGGGTAGAGAGGAATCATTTGGGACTGGATGGGGTTGGGGTAGAGAGGAATCATTAAGGACTGGATGGTGTTGGTGTAGGGAGGAATCATTACGGACTAGATGGTGTTGGTGTAGAGAGGAATCATAAAAGGGACTGGATGGTGTTGGGTGAGCGAAGAATCATAAGGGACTGGATGGTGTTGTTATAGAGAGGAATCATTAGGGACTGGATGGTGTTGGTGTATAGAGGAATCATTAAGGACTGGATGGTGTTTGGGTAGAGATCACTAGAGGAATCATAAGGGACTGGATGGTGTTGGGGTAGGGGGGAATCATTAAGGACTGGATGGGGTTGGTGTAGAGAGGAATCATAAGGGACTGGATGATGTTGGGTGAGCGAAGAATCATAAGGGACTGGATGGTGTTGGTATAGAGAGGAATCATTAAGGACTGGATGGTGTTGGGGTAGAGAGGAATCATTAAGGACTGGATGGTGTTGGTGTAGGGAGGAATCATTAAGGACTAGATGATAGGAATCATAAGGGACTGGATGGTATTGGTGTAGAGAGGAATCATTAGGGGCTGGATGGTGTTGGTGTAGAGAGGAATCATTAAGGACTGGGTGGTGTTGGTGTAGAGAGGAATCATAAGGGACTGGATGGTGTTGGGGTAGGGGGGAATCATTAAGGACTGGATGGGGTTGGTGTAGAGAGGAATCATAAGGGACTGGATGGTGTTTGTGTAGAGAGGAATCATTAAGGACTGGATGGTGTTGGTGGAGAGAGGAATCATTAGGGACTGGATGGTGTTGGTATAGAGAGGAATCATTAAGGACTGGATGGGGTTGGGGTAGAGAGGAATCATTTGGGACTGGATGGGGTTGGTGTAGAGAGGAATCATAAGGGACTGGATGGGGTTGGGTGAGCGAAGAATCATAAGGGACTGGATGGTGTTGTTATAGAGAGGAATCATTAGGGACTGGATGGTGTTGGGGTAGAGAGGAATCATAAGGGACTGGATGGTGTTGGTGTAGAGAGGAATCATTATGGACTGGATGGTGTTGGTGTAGAGAGGAATCATTAGGGGCTGGATGGTGTTGGTGTAGAGAGGAATCATTAAGGACTGGGTGGTGTTGGTGTAGAGAGGAATCATTGAGGACTGGATGGTGTTGGGGTAGAGATCACTAGAGGAATCATAAGGGACTGGATGGTGTTGGTGTAGATAGGAATCATTAGGGACTGGATGGTGTTGGTGTATAGAGGAATCATTAAGGACTGGATGGTGTTTGGGTAGAGATCACTAGAGGAATCATAAGGGACTGGATGGGGTTGGGGTAGAGAGGAATCATTAAGGACTGGATGGTGTTGGGGTAGAGATCACTAGAGGAATCATAAGGGACTGGATGGTGTTGGTGGAGAGAGGAATCATTAGGGACTGGATGGTGTTGGTATAGAGAGGAATCATTAAGGACTGGATGGTGTTGGTGGAGAGAGGAATCATTAGGGACTGGATGGTGTTGGTGGAGAGAGGAATCATTAGGGACTGGATGGTGTTGGTATAGAGAGGAATCATTAAGGACTGGATGGGGTTGGGGTAGAGAGGAATCATAAGGGACTGGATGGGGTTGGGTGAGCGAAGAATCATAAGGGACTGGATGGGGTTGGTATAGAGAGGAATCATTAGGGACTGGATGGTGTTGGTATAGAGAGGAATCATTAAGGACTGGATGGTGTTGGGGTAGAGAGGAATCATAAGGGACTGGATGGTGTTGGGGTAGAGAGGAATCATAAGGGACTGGATGGTGTTGGGTGAGAGAAGAATCATAAGGGACTGGATGGTGTTGGTATAGAGAGGAATCATTAAGGACTGGATGGTGTTGGGGTAGAGAGGAATCATTAGGGACTGGGTGGTGTTGGTGTAGAGAGGAATCATTAGGGACTGGATGGTGTTGGGGTAGAGGAATCATTAAGGATTGAATGAAGAATAGGTTTTTGTAATATATTGGTTTGAAGGGTAGCGAGGGTTGGTTATTGTTAAAATTTGATGTAGAATGGTAAAACGGAGATGGATGTTTATGGGCTGTTTAGGAGTTTGATGATGTCTGGATTGATTGAGAGCTTATATAGAGGGTTAGAAGTGTTGTTAGAGGGTTAGAGAGAGAGGGAGAGGGATAAAAATCTGGTTTTACGGTGTTTAATTGAAGACTTTGGAAATAGTTATTATTTGATGGTGTTAAGGTGAAGGCTAGGGATATAGTTAGGGTTCGATGGTGTTTAGATAAAGGCTAGTGATATAGTTTTTTTTGGGGCCTCAGGAAACCTNGAAATTGAGAACACTCCCCCCTCCCAGATAGGTCTCTGGATCCGCCACTGTAGTTAGTGATGGTGTTTAGGAGACTAGCTAGGGATAGGGATATAGTTAGGGTTTGATGGTGTTTTGAAGGAGGTTAGGGATAAAGTTAGAGTTTGATGGTGTTTAAATGGGCTATGAAACAATTGTATTATGTGCTTGCTGTTCAGAGTACGTTTTTCGTAGTATATACTAATTGTAAACACTTCTCAACTTTGTAGTACAACGTATATATATTTTCCCCGTAATCTTAGTACAATTTTGTTTTTACATTGTACATGTCCATACTATGTAGTACATTATTTCTAAATGATATATGGACAATTTCACATATATATATATATTATTTTTAAATGGTTATTTTTATATTCAAATATTATAATCTATCACTAATATATCGGTGCATTTTATTTCCGCCACAAACAGGGCAATAAAATGGCCGATTGGGGTCACGTTGAAACACTACTATTAGAAATTTAATCAAACGAGTAACTTATCCTGGAGTATGCTGGACTAGGTATATTTATTTAGGTAAGATGTATATGTATACCTTGAATGTAGACAGCTTGACAGTTTTCCACTTGTTGTCGAAGGCTTTTGAGGACGGAATATAAATTCGAGTCTTTGGAAGACAGAGTCAGATCTGTTGTGTCGCTGTCATATAAAACTATTGTATTAAAATGTCCTTCTTTCAACATTTCTCTTTTTTCTGAACATGGCACAATATTCTCCAAAGCCACGAATCCTCCTGACCGCCTCTTCAGAATCGGTGGACAGTGCACGTTCAACGAATTTCTTATGTGCCCATCGTTGAACGCCATGAAGGGACGACAGTCCAACATCAGAACACATTCTCGACAGCTTGCTCGGTCTTCTAGCCATTCTACAACCTTAGTACACGATACACCACTGGCAAGGTTCACTTCCATCTTGAAAATAACCCTTTAAATGGTATATATCGTGACTGTTTCCCTCGAGTATACAATTCGCATGCATTTATCCTTTCTAATCAATGAAATACTTCCGGACTATCACGTGATCACGCTCATTCACAAAAAAACCGTGTCACTACTTTTACTCAATGCGCTAAAAATGTAGAACAACACGATACGATTATTTTAAATAAATTATAGCATATACACACTCGATGTGGAACAAAAATAGTAACTTTAATAGATGAAGATAATTTTATGTTCGAATATTAGTTGATATAAGAAATAATGTTTTAAAATATCACTACGCTTCTGTTTACCGGTGACGTCAGGAGGTTGGGATGGTTGTAGCAATAAATAGACCCATTCATAATTTGCTTAGTAGCCACGCCTCCAAAATACACATAGTAACCATACATGGGTATTACTTTCGTCGCTTCGATGCACTCGAGTGAATATTATGACTTGACAAATGGCACTTTGACAGCTCTATTAGCCTATTCAGTTGAAGAAGCTTTAAATTCTGTAATAGTACGTGAATCTATTTTTGGATACGAGGACTGGTTTGTAATCTCTGTAGGTCAGACTTTACATGTACATGTCACTATTGTGTCTACAGCTAGAATTCCTTGAACCTGTGTGAAGGCGGGTGACTAATTTTACATACCTTTAGTAATCGATTGGACTTAACCCACACCCGAGTTACGTTATGTCCGAGTTTCTAGGTAGGCTAATTTTAGATTTCAACGTTATATTACCGTAGGAGTAGAAATCCCCGTCAATATATGGGGCGATTGCTCAGGAGTTTAGCCTGTGACTGTAGGCTTTCTATAACGCACAGTGGTGATATTGTTTCTTCAGATAGGCAGAGACGTATAAAACATGTATTATACGTCTCTGAGATAGGAGAGGGCGGTTGTTAAATTAATTTTCGAATTTATCAGCGTAGCATTAATCAATGAGTAATATTAAACTCAGGCACTTGAGTTTAACCACGGAATTAGATTACACGGAATTAGGTTATCTAAGTCCGTGGTTTAACCAATCAAAACTAATAAAAAAGGAAGAGGTCTGGAACACGACCGCCGATCGGGATCATGACCGGCTCTTTTTTAATTAGTTTTCATTATTTTTTGTCTGTTGGCTACACTCCAGTGTCCGCAGCAGCCATACCTGGCGCCTGTTTTCAGCCCACGAAATACAAATCATTAATTGTGTATTTTACAATGTTATAACGCCAGAGGTGGGATTACCCAGTCACTGGAACTATTTTTAGCTGGAACTCGTCCGTTGCACCAGAGACGGATACAAATATACGTCGCTTATTGCATTGATCAAATCGACGAATTGAAGTTGGAATGTCCATCTCCTTGGTGCACTCGACTGAATACGGACATTTTAGCATCATTTTCAGTGACCTTTTTCACGGGCACTTTGCAACTGTATTGCTAAAAACAATGTGTCCCACAAAATTAAATTTTAAATATTTCCAGAAATCATATGAGTCCCATCAAAACTATGAGTATTGGACTCGGGACTCATAATGTAGATTCATTACTGCATTTTACGCTATGGTAACGTGACGTCATTAGGCCTGTCGTCATCATTTTGTCTTCCATATATGTTGTTTGGTTTCAAGTTTTCGGGAAATTGAACATTATGATACGGGCAATGATCAGACGTGGGGCTAATGTTTTGATGAAAATATAAAAAAAACAGTTGAAGTTACACGAATCATAATAAAAACAATGCCACGCACACACAGTTATTATTTATTCCTTATTTATTTAAGATTTTACAGTCACTGACATTATTTTCTTCTTCAAAAATAAGGGTTCATCCATTTAAAAGTTTGAAAGTCAACTTTCTAACCATGCAAACTGACCACTGATAAAGTCTAGTTCTTTCTGCTGGTGAGGTTTTACGAAATGCTATGTATGTTTGATCAAGATACTGCAAAATATGGGAACTAGAATGACACGTACGTAAATGTGAATGAAACACAGAGAGTACATATTCTGACAGCGCAAGTCAAATAGTAACAAATGAGAGACTATGATAATGCAGATGGTCCCAGGGAGACAACTCATTTACATTTTGCCCTAACGATTTCAGAGGGATATTAAAGATTTATCTTTGATTTATCCAAGTTATGTTANCCCCCCCCGCCCACCACACACACTACATTTAGTTTAGTTTAAACAATATATCAAAAATATGAAAGATGATTTGGTAACAAGCTTAGAGATGATATGTATAGACACACAGAGGAGAGTGATCGTGGTTATACAGATTAAGGATTCTGGTGTTAGATATTAATGGTACTGTCCGATTACCGATCATGTGCTTAGGAAGTACATGAAATACGGCGTGACATATATAGAGTATAGGTATAGACTAAGGTAGATTCATCTCATGTTACATAGGTAAGTACATTGTAATATTTAACTCAGTATATAGAATTGATGTACATACATACCATGCCATACCCTACACCTATACCTACCTACATGCATCCATACATATCATATTTAATTACATAACATGCTCACTTCTCATTATAAATTCTTGTACAGTCAAGATAATTTCCACGTTTTCTTGTACAGTAAGGTCTGAACCTCCCCAAAGAGTAAACAAAAACATTCAATATTCAAATCATTATTCAATGTCCAGATGTATTGTTCTCTTATACAATTAATTTGAATACTTTCACATGCAAATAAAAAATGGAAATTGTCACCAATGCAACCAAAAGTATAAAAAGGATTATCACTAAGATTTTCCCCAGAGAGATGTGCTTTTAAGCTTCTGCACTGCTATCGGAGTCTGGTATGATACATTTGGGCTTGAACGATTTCTATAGGAAATATAGAAATATCACAGCGAGTTTTTTCTGTCTCTATCAAGGACGGCCAGTGGTGGAGGGTAGGTTGTTCCAAGAATGAACAGCGACTGGAAGGAAAGAGTTTTTGTGGGAACTGGTGTTAGTTTTGATAGTGGATAGTTGATCTGATTGTCTAAATCTAAGGCTATGTATTTCAGAATTGTTTCTTGGAACTATATTAAAAAAAGAAGAAGGGGTATGATTATCTTATGTGTTTTCTTGCGTTCTACTAAAGTGTCCCAGCATGTCTTTGTATAATAAGTTACTAAGTAGTTGTGTCGCTCCAGTTACTATCTTTGCTGATTCCCTTTGAGTTAATTCAAGATTATTAACAAGGAAATTTGGTAGATAATCCCATACAACGTCAGCCTATTCGAGTATAGGGATCATGTATGAGAGGTACATGTATATACGTTCTAAGGTGTCTACGGTCAAGAAGAAATTTACCTTCCGTAGCATATAGCTAGCCTTTTTGATACTTTCGACTAATATATTCTACATGATAGGTTCACACAACTTCAGTCAGTCACTTACACACAATACCCACGCTATATTATTGATGTTCACATTATACATAATGTTAACAAACTTGTGTACAATATACATGCATACCTACATTTATAATAGAGTGAGGTCATTTATATGTAGGTGTTAATGAGATGTATACAGCTAAATCATTAATTAAAATAAAATGTAACAACATATGTATAATAACAGCATATTTAACAAAGACCCCCCCCCCCACAACAACAGCAAACAAACAAACAGGCAAGCAAAAACATCCTTTTGATAACATGTCTATATACAAGTAATGTAAATCAAATTTGATATCGATCTAATATTTAATTATTTGTACGTATTATCAAACTCCCACACCATTTATCACCTAATGCAGAAACGTTATATAGATTGTTTACACGAATACATGCTTATGATTGTCTATGCATTGCCCATGACGGGGATTATGCAACAACTTAGAGTTTTTAATCATATAAGTTAACTCAATCGTATTAAACATTCCAATCGTGATTTGTAGACATCATTATACAATGGACCACACGACAATATTTTGAAATGAAGTTTGAGTTCGCTGATTAGACTAATAAATAAAATTATTATGAACCATTCACTGAGAGTTACTGTAAATAAAAGGCATAGTTTTGGTCAGGTTATGCTGTGATGATCCCAGCCTGAAGTTGAGCGCAAGACAATTGAATAAACGACCATCTTCGACTCAACGGAGTTATCAAATGAGTTATCACCTCATAACCCTGACTGGTCGAATGGCGCAGTGGATAGCTAGGAATATAACGCGCCTTTCATCAAAGTGACCGGGGATCGCTTCCCCGACCGGACGTGAAAAGGTATGGGGTCACCTTGCCGACCACGTGAACGTTCTCCGGATACTCTGGTTTCCTTCCACACTAAGACCCCCGTGCTCTTATGAAGTGTTTAATATTTGTTCAAGCTTTCTGCTATTAACATAGAATATACGAAATGATACAACTTATCGTGTAAAACAAACGCTACAGTAAACACAAGTACATGTATGCGCGATAATGGGACATACATATCCATATATTGATAAAATGAATAGAGCAATGGTATACATTGTTTTAAGTTTGGTACCTGTTAGGTTTATTAAAAACATTTATTCAAAGATTTGAGACTGTATTAGTACCATTAATTCATCGCTATTGATGCATTTGTAATGATTGATGGACAGCGAATTTCTTGTTAATTCTTAAACAAGTGAAAGTGGCAAATAAAAATGTGATTTATACACTGTATAAAGCAGCTTGTGTAACAAGTACCTGAGTCATGGAGGATAATATGGAGGTTTGTAACAAGTACCTGAGTCATGGAGGATGATATGGAGATTTGTAACAAGTACCTGAGTGATGGAGGATGATATGGAGGTTTGTAACAAGTTCCTGAGTCATGGAGGATAATATGGAGGTTTGTAACAAGTACCTGATTCATGGAGGATGATATTGAGGTTTGTAACAAGTACCTGAGTCATGGATGATGATATGGAGGTTTGTAACAAGTACCTAAGTCATGGAGGATGATATGGAGATTTGTAACAAGTACCTGAGTCATGGAGGATGATATGGAGGTTTGTAACAAGTACCTGAGTCATGGAGGATGATATGGAGGTCTGTAACAAGTACCTGAGTCATGGAGGATCATATGGAAGTTTGTAATGAGTACCTGAGTCATGGAGGATG